CAGTTTGTCCGTCTGGGACAAGGCCCCACTTCTGCATTAGTGTCCTGCACCTTCCTGTGCCTGTTCTTAACCTGTTGAGACATGCCCAAGTTGGCCATGCCTCCTCCGCTCCTGGAGGGAGGGATTCCTTCGGGGTGAAGGTTAACTTATGTGGAGCTTCTTGGAGATGGTGGGACCACATGGCCATCCTCCGTGACTCTGCGCTGCCACTGAGTGACTCAACTGAGTGCAGGAAGCTGTGTCTGGATTTGAGTCTTTTTGGCGCAGGAGCATGTTGGTAGAGTACGTGATGTGGGTCTGTCTCCTGCTTCAGTTTCTCCCGCTGTGCCGCCACCGTTCTTCTTGGGTATTAAGAATATGCTGTAAACTACTATACATTACTACTATACAATACTACTGTAACATACTTTCTTGTTTGTGTCTAGCTTGTGTGGGAGGAGGAGAGAATGAGGCTGGGACTGGAGGAGAAACAGTCCTTTGTGGATCTGGGCTGTGGAAACGGACTGCTGGTCTACATCCTGGCTCAGGAAGGGGTGAGGAAAGGGTCCTAAAGTCTCTTTTTCTCCATGTAAGGCCACACTGACTTAATTTTATGGATGACATCCGCGCGCGCATTGATTTTCGCTTGTTCTCAAAAAAACAAAAAAAGATCACGTCCACTGAGGCTCTGGCCTGGCTCTAGGCCTGAGTAGTCCATAGTAGTTACCGACAATATCGAGCCAGGCACCCAGGCTACCGGAGCTCCACGACTCAAGAACTCAGTATATACGTACAGTGCCGATTCATAAATTCCGCAAAAAGCCAACATGTGCCGGCTTGTCGTATATGTTGCTATGTACTGCTGAGAATTCACAATACTAGCCTTGTATTCCCGTGGTTTAGTAGCATTTTTATTTTTGGCCGGAATTTTTTTTTATTCGCCCGCGCGCACTAGTTTGGGGGTCTTCAGAGGATGTCATCTATAAATTTAAGTCAGTGTGGCCTAACTGCACTTTACCTTTGACCTTGGTTCCTCCCGCAACTACTGTAACCAAGTTACCAACTACTGTAAGTTACCTGAACCAGACAACTTTTACCCGCACCACAGTTTCTTTGTGTTTTACTTCATCAAAATGCAGCAAATTCCTGTTTATACTATAGGATATTTAACCCTTAGCAGTTTGGCCCCAGACTTGTACTGTTCATGGGGTCAGGCAGCAGGGAGAAGGTTAACCACAATCCCGAAGCTAGTTAACCCTCAGCCTGCAAAGGCAGCTTTTGGGCACCAAATGTGTATGGGTTATGGGGTTAGGCAGCAGGGAGAAGGTTAACTTGACCTGAATGTGTTTAGCTTGAAAGTTCATCTGTGTTGGTACAGTTCGTGTAAAACTTAGTCTTCACTTCTGAATGTGTTTTTGTTCCAGCACCCTGGTAAGGGGATAGATGTGAGGAAACGCACAACCTGGGACATCTACGGACCAGACACGGTGCTACAGGTAACTACAGTAACTTACCCGTCACATCACTCGGGAATTGTAAGTAAAACTAGAAAGGTTAAACATTTGCAAAGGAAATACATAATGTTTACTTTCACACTGTCTCACCCAACAATCTAATTCTATTTTTAAAAACTCAAAAACACTCATGGTGACACAGTCCAACTCTGTCCAGTATTCCAAGTGTAACCCAACACCACAGGTTGTCTGACACAGCACCACTTACCATAGTGACAGACGTCTGGTCCAGGCCATTGACCTTATGTGTTTGGAGAAGAAGAAACAGAGCAAAAACAGCATGTTTTCTGGCTGCAAAGGCAAGCATTATTATCAATGTATTAAACCATTGATGAGTTATTGGCCTGACGCCACAAAATTACAAATCAAACAGACACAAAAACTCCTTTATTCCTCCAGTTGATGCACCAAAAATGTATCCTTATGTTACCATTCTTGTTGATGAGTTTAAGTTATTAATGAGTTATTGACATGTTATTGATTAGTTAGTATTATTTGTTGTTCTCTAGGAAGAGCCAATCACCCCATCCGACAGCTGCCTGTTTCCTGACTATGATTGGCTGATTGGTAACCATAGCGATGAGCTGACGCCATGGATACCAGTCATAGCTGCCAGGTGAGACAGTAATGTAGTCATCCATGTTTGTTGCACTACTTGGAGGGTAAAGGTAGTCCCATAGCCTTTTTGAGACTGTAAACTTTCAAACTCTTAATCAAACCACTGCATTGATAGATGGAAAAACTAAAACTCTACAGAGAAGGGACTTTCTTCAACTGTTGGGGCTAAATTATGAGCATTTGGGAGTTGATTCAGAGGCTGAAATTTTGGGTTTTTTTTTTCGCAAATCAGAAAAAAAATTAACCAGGGAACCAACAAATTTAGATGGTGTTGCTAATGTTGAGTTAACCAGACCTGGCCCCCCTCCCTCCCACAGGTCATCCTACACCACACGGTACTTCGTGCTTCCATGCTGCCCGTACGATTTCCACGGCAAGTTCGCCCGGACGCACACGGCCAACAGCCACTACAGGAACTACCTGGACTATGTTCGCTCTGTCGGGGAGGCATGTGGCTTCACTGTGGAGGAGGACAGTCTCAGGATCCCTTCCACCAAGAGGGTTAGTAGCAGTAGTATTAGTAGAACATACATTGTATGTAGTAGTAGTAGCACTAGTAGTAGCAGTAGCTCCTCTGCTCTAGTACTAGCCTGGGTGCCAGACATTTGCCAGGGCCAGTATACAGGCCAGCTCCTCGGCTCCAGGGCTAGCCTGGGTGCCAGACTGTTGCCAGGGCCAGTATACAGGCCAGCTCCTCAGCTCCAGGGCTAGCCTGGGTGCCAGACTGTTGCCAGGGATGCTAGTATACAGGCCAGCTCCTCGGCTCCAGGGCTAGCCTGGGTGCCAGACTGTTGCCAGGGCCAGTATACAGGCCAGCTCCTCAGCTCCAGGGCTAGCCTGGGTGCCAGACTGTTGCCAGGGCCAGTATACAGGCCAGCTCCTCGGCTCCAGGGCTAACCAGGGCTGAGTCTAACTGAAAGTCCTGACAACTTTATGTAAGTTTTAATCTGAGGATTTGTCCTGACAAGTCTGGCTTCTAGGCTACATAATGTCTGTGATGAAGTGATGAACCGTTTCTTTCCTGTTCCAGATCTGCCAGATCGGCAGGACCAGGGTCTACCCTGAAGAGGAGACGCACAAAATCGACAAGCTGATCTCAGAACTCATCAGCAGTCGGCCAAGGGAACAGTCCAAAAACCCTCACAACTCTCAAACAGATATCAGAGGTGCAACAACAGAATGTCTAGTTGGGAATGGAAACGCGTTAAGCGATGATCCCTCTGCAGACGCCAAACTGACCTGCGACCAGGGCAGGTCAGAGGTCGGCGGGCCCACAGGAAGTGGCAGTGCATTGTGGGTGGATGGTTTCCAGCCCAGGTCAAAGGTCGAGTTGGTGAGAAACTGTAACCGTTTGGAGGAAGGTTTGAAGGACAGGATTGTGAACACAGTCGGTCTGGCCTTGCTGAACCAACACCCTGGAAACAACAAACAAATAAACAAACAAGCAACAGGAAACACAGAATTTGCTACATCTGCAGGGAGCACAGAATTTGCCACTGCTCCAGAATCTGCCACATCTGCAGGGAACAGAGAATCTGCCACATCTGCAGGGAACAGAGAATCTGCCACAGGAAACACAGAAGCTGCCACAGGGAACACGGAATCTGCCACATCTGCAGGGAACACAGAATCTGCCACATCTGCAGGGAACACAGAATCTGTCACATCTGCAGGGTACACAGAATCTGCCACATCTGCAGGGAACACAGAATCTGCCACATCTGCAGGGAACACAGAATCTGCCACATCTGCAGGGAACACAGAATCTGCCACATCTGCAGGGAACAGGACCTGGAACAAAGGAGGTAAAATTCAAGGCAAACTAAATCTCAAACTTATAACAAGTGACAAGTGTTTCCCACCAACCTACAATCTACAGGCTTTCAAATCAAACATACACTGCCATCTCTTGACATAGCCATGTTTTCTCTCATCTTTCTAGTTCAATGCCAAGAAGTGGTTGTATAGGCCTTGCATTGAACCACTTCTTTAAAAAGAAGCTCCTTGCACAAGTTCTTATTCTTATTTTTCCTCCAGGCTCGCTACAGATGTCTGAAGTCGTGGCCATGTTCGACAAGGAGACGTTACAGAAACTCAAGTGTGAATGTGGAGGCCTCAAGACACTGCTGAAGAACAAGAACCAAGTCTTTATCTGTGGGTAACTTTCTTAAGTCACATCAGATTATTGTATACTGTTTTCTTTTCAGGTTCTGTCCTGACTTCTGTTGATTGCAAATAGAAAGTATGTTTGTGTGAACTCCTTCTTTTGTCATCCTCAAATAAGGTGAAGCATAGAGAATTGGTAGCTATACAGCTACTTCAGTGTGCTAAAGATTAACCTTCTCCCTGCTGCCTAACTCTGGGTAACCAAACGGCTACTTCAGTGTGCTAAAGGTTAACCTTCTCCCTGCTGCCTAACCCTGTAACCAATAGAGAACTGGTAGACACATGCATGTTGTTCTAGGCATAATTTTGTGCATTATAAACTTCATGTAACAACCTGACAAGCCTGTTTGTACTTATTTTGCTGCAGTAAGAGGTGACAGTGTCAGGCTACGTGATTGGTCGCTGGAGGAGGCAGGAGCCCACAAATCTGCCGGCTCCACCAATAGGAGGAGAGGTAAGAAGAAGAAGAAGACGGACAGGGATCTGCGTGTGAAGACCAGTCTGTGCTGGTTTTATCTGCACCATCCCGACGGCTGCCCAAGACTGGCGCAGAACTGTTACTATGCACACGGACAGGCAGAACTCAGGAACAAAATAGGGAAATAATCAATCATGAAAGTTCACCTGTGTTGGTAGTTACATGTTTAAAGTTAAAACTTTAGATCCAACACAAATTCTCTCACCTAGAGCTTTTGACCAGTTACTCTAGTCTTCCTCAGTAGACTGATCCAGTGAAGCTTGTCACATGGCTTCTTTGAAGTGTGACGTGGAAAATCCCCTAGTTCTTTTCGACAAGCACCATGAACAGGAACAAAATAGGGAAGTAGTTAAGACATACCGGTGCAACAGCTCAATTGGTAGTCTTAAGAGTGCTCGCTTTGTAACCGGGAGGTCGTGAGTTCAAACCCTGGCCAGGTCATACCAAAGACTTTAAAATTGGTACACACTTCTTTCTTTCTCTGCTTAGCACTCAGCACATATGAGAAAGAGTGTGGGAAGGTCAAACACACAGCACTACCAGTGGACTAGCCCCCTGCTGTAGTGCCCTGCACAACTGTGTGTCGACCAAGGGCTACGGAAATGGACATGGGCACCAAACCCTAGTATATTCTCTGCATAGGGCACGGAAAACCTTTTTAGGGCTGAACCAGTACTGGTTTGAAGCGGAACAACATTGGGGAGCCAAATTGATGCAAAAACCGGATCATCGGACCTAATGTACATTTCTGTAGATTGTAAAACACATCTTAAGATAATCTGGCCATGGCAGGTAAAGAAGATAACCCTGAATCAAACTTGATTGGCCTTAATCCATGTTTGTCTTTTTCTGTTACTGTGTTCAGCTTTAATATTGGTACTTACAGTATGGTACTTTTTAGTAGCATAAAAAGTCCTGATAACATCATCATTACATAAGAGAAGAATCATTACATAATAAAAGTGCAAATTGATGGTAATTTTTTAGAATCGAGTTCTGTGAAATTTAAAGACTAGTCTTCTCTGACAAGCACAGTTTGTGACTGCGACACAAACAACATGTTACGGAAGTAACCTTTACCTGGCCGGTACAGTCATGATATATAATTATCGCCTGCAGGCAATAGTAACACAATAGGAGTGTCCTTGCACAGTGTAATCTCACATCTAAACTCGTTATACCTGGTCCAACCACTACCACTACTGCGCAACACGGAAGAACAGTTTAAGATGGACTCCCGACATTTAATGAAGTTTTGAGACTAACGAGCCAAGATCTGCCACCATCCACACTTTGGTGAGTCTTCGTAAAGTTTTTCAACTATCCTACATGATCATTGGCGTGTCTTTGGTTCATTTTACAGGGGAAAAAGTTGTTAACAATTGGCAGGACAAGATTTGATTCCTACGTCACACCAAAATGGCGGCCAAGGGGCGTTCACTACATTCTTATTCATTTACAATGTGGACAGATTGTGGAGATTGCAAAACTTTGCTGGATTGTTTTTAAAGTTGCTGTGTACTATACTACTGCAAATTCACAAGACCAGCTTTGTATTCCTCAGTGGTTTAGCTGCATTCTTTTTGGGCTGGATTTTTTTTATTCGCCTGTGAGCACTACTTTGGGGGTCTTCAGAGGCTGTCATCCATGAAATTAAGACAGTGTGGCCTATTTGATGAATCTTGGATACACAAAGTAATATTGTTTTCTCTGTGGGCGCTCCAGCCGTTCCTCACAGTGGGTGAAGTGATCTGCACTGCCCTTAAACATTCAACAGGAACTACATAACAGATAAGGTTGGTGAATGATATCGACTATCAAGGATCAAAAATAGTTTGTATGAATAGTTACCATCAATCGGACCAGTTAGTGACAGTTTAACATTTTAGAGCTGTTCTGATAACATTGTATCTTGATACATGTTCAACTCAGCATTTTTAAAAAGCTCAAAGGACAAGTTTTGTAATCGAGTTCTGTGAAATTCAAAGACCAGGTTTCTCTCACAAGCACAGTTTGTTCATAACTGCGACACAAACAACATGATACAAGCGTACCTTTACCTGGCTGGTACAGTAATTATACATAATTATCACCTGTGGGCATGAAGGACATTAGGCAGCGTGAGCTCACATCTGACCTTAGATGCACCTTCTTGAGGGCCTGCATGGGGGGACCCGACAACGCTCTACGCTAAATTTTGAAAGCTGGTTACGTATTACGCTGGATTCAAGATGCCTCAATACGCTTTACGATAAATTCCGGATAGCTACAACACATTACGTAAAATAAAACGGCGGATTACGCTCTATGCAAAATGCGCCAAGTACGCTCTACGTTGAAGTAGAGCGGTCCGTCTATGCTCTACATAGAATTAAAATGGCCGATAATGCTCTATGGAAAAGGGGTTGCGGGCCCCCATTCTTCAACCATTTATATCAGAACAGACCATATATGAAGGATGTCCCAAGGCAAGGCGACCTCACATGTGACATGTTAGACTCCTGCAGTCAAATATCAGGCCAAATCAATTTCTTTCCTTGGTTCATGGACATTTTAGTAAAATGCTTTCGAGAGAGTCTTTCTAGCCTCGTTACCAGCCTCCACAGGTCTGCTTAGGATTGCTTTACTGGTAGTAGACTCACAACACCGTAGAGGAGCCTACGATGGTCTGGCTGCCAGGCTAACAGTATTACATCAGCAACTTGCATCAGTATTGGTGTAAAATTCTAAAGCATCTACAGGTAAACCCTCAGGGCAACAAGGTATCAAGGACAGGTGTGTTTTTCTCACCGTATCGGGTAATAACACCTGAGTTATAGCAGTAACCGAAATGAACCTTTTTCAGTGTAAAAAGGGTCCTGTTTAGAATCAAGTTTCGTGAAATTCAAACGTCAGCTCTACTTGTCATAGAAAGTTTGTTTCTGAGTTAATAACTGCAATACAAACGTTAAAACTGTAACCTTTTAGTCCTGTTAATGATGTCAAGGATGGATGCTCATTACTGTTGGCAGGCAGGTTACTGTTTTGTCAAGTTCAAAAATAGGCCTTGTGGGGGTTTCTACGTCACCGCAGTAGACCGTTTGTGTGTGGGTTTTTTTTTTGTAAACAGGATAATTCAAGTTTCTGTTGATAGATGATGATTAAATTTAGCAAGAAGGTCGAGTTCAGAAATGGGCTTATGGCAGGTTTCTACGTCACTGCAGTGTACTTTTTGTGGTTGTTGGTATGTTTCTTAGCATTATAACTGGAGATGCTGTGAAAGGATGTTTTAATAGGCAAGACCAAGATCATGTTTGGGCCTTCCTGCATTACTGCAGTGGACCTTTTGTGTTTTTTGGTTTGTTGATAGTGTTTGGTGTGTCTGTAAACTCATGACAATGTCCCGACTTGAAGATCTTTATCTCTGGTAATTATCATCTCGAATGTATCTAATGTTGATGCATGGACTCAACTATTTTACAATATGATAACTCATTAATAATTGGAGATCTGTATTCATAATATGTATTTTATGACAATGCTAATCATTATCTTGAATGTATCATAATTATTACAATCTTGATGCATTGACTCAGCTATTGTACGTGTGATGGAGTACATAGGATAGTTTTCAGTAAGCCCATAAGGCAGAGCGTGGGTGCTGGGGTGAGTCAGTCAGGGGTCCAGGCTGGAGAGAGAGAGGTCCGGTGGCCTGTACTAGGGCAGAAGTCTGGCATAAAACGGAGTTCCTTGAGATCAACCCCGGCTCATTTCGTGACAGTACGATACAACAACTCAGAAATAAGCGGAGATATTTTTTAAATGTTTGTTTTTATTGTATTTACCAAAGTATTGTATTCTAACAAACTTTTATCCCAATAATTCCTTTTAGATTTCTGTAACTATTGTTTTTTTTCTCCTCTTTTTCCACCTATTTGTTTTTCTACTGAGTTGATTATGCTGCCCACCACCTTTGTTAAATTATTCCCAAGTTTGGCCGGAATGTATTATTATTTTCTTTTATGTTTTATTTGAATTGAATCTCTGTGCAATGCGCACTATTACCTATTATTTATTGACCATTTGTTACTTTTCATTTGATTTCACTCTCTGCGCTTGTATGTATTATGATGTCTCCTTTGTTGATGTCTTATAAGCCCATATGGGCTGGGCGGTGCTTAGTTGCAAGACACGATAATAAATCATTCATTCGTTCATTCCTTTTAATTCTCTCGCTCATATTTTGCAGGCCTCGTGTCCAGGACTTGTCCTGTGAATCAGCAACAAACAGAGGCTTTAGGATCACTTTTTAGGTTGGTGCAAGTCTCAGCTCTCCCTCATTCATTTATTTCGTTAACTTTCTTTCACAGAAGCGGGTCTGTTTGTTAAGTTATATCTTTTTCTGTTTGATAAAAGACATGCATCTTGTTTTGTGCAGTGGAGAAAAACAGCCTCCAACATGCAGGTGAGGAGGATGCTGGTTCTGCTGCTGATCATCCTGAAGGAAGCTGGCCCGACCGCAGCCCACAGCTGCCGCTGTTCATCATCAAGCTGTTCCTGCGGCAGGAGAGGCCTCAGCAGTGTTCCTCAGGACCTGCCGACAACCATCACTACCCTGTACCTTTGGGTCAATGAAATCACAACCTTAAGTCAGTCTGATTTCTCAAGGTATGGGAGCCTGCGAACATTACACCTTTATAGTAATCAGATCTCTACTATCAATCATGGAACATTTGTGGGACTTAGTAATCTGAAAAGGTTGTATCTTAGTGTTAATCAGTTGGCAAATCTCACAGCTGACATGTTTGATGGCCTTGGTAACCTGGAGGTGTTGCAGCTCGACAATAATCAGTTGACGAGTCTTCCATCTGACATATTTGAGGGCCTTGGTAACTTGCGGGGTTTGCGTCTTGATCAGAATCAGTTGTCAAGCCTTCCGACTGGCATATTTGCGGGACTTGGTAACCTGGAGGAATTGCGGCTTTCTCACTTGACCAGTCTTGCAGCTGACACATTTGAGGGCCTTGGTAACTTGCTGACTTTGGTACTTAATCAGATTCAGTTGTCCAAACTACCAGCTGGCATATTTGAGGGTCTTGGCAATCTGTGGCAGTTGGATCTTAGTCAGAATCCCTTGACAAATCTCACAGCTGACACTGACATATTTGAGGGGCTTGGTAATCTGACAACCTTGTATCTTTCCTATAATCAGTTGACCAGTCTTCCAGTTGGAATATTTGAGGGGCTTGGTAATCTGCAGACATTGATTCTCAGTCAGAATCAGTTGACCAGTCTTCCAGCTGGTATATTTGAGGGGCTTGGTAATCTGCAGATATTGTTTCTCAGTCAGAATCAGTTGACCAATCTTCCAATTCGAATATTTGAGGGACTTGGTAATCTGGTAGACTTGAATCTCAGTCACAATCGGTTGACCAGTCTTCCAGCTGCCATATTTGATGGCCTTGATCACCTGTTGCTGCTGCACCTTGATCACAATCAGCTGACCAGCCTGTCTGCTGACATATTCCCAGTACTGGCCTCTGTTTTAATTTGGGTTCAAATTCGTAACAACCCCTTGCAATGTGACTGCAAAATGCGTCCCTTTAAGCTATTGATGACAGGGGAACATTATTTTGAATCCGGTATCTACTGTGCCGGACCCGCTAACCTTGCAGGGAAAAACTTGCTTTTTGGGGTAAATCCTGAAGATATGATCTGTAATGAGACCACAACTGCTCCCTCCACTGTAAGGACCTTATCTCTGGCAGCACCAACTTCTACCACCCAACCTGCACCAACCTCTACCCCTCAACCTGCACCAACCTCTACCCCCCAACCTACACCAGCTTCTACCCCCAAACCTGTAGCAAGTTGCAGCACCTTTTGGAAGAAGTGCGTCACCAGAAAGTTTTGGAGAAGGGCTTCCTGTAGTGGCAAGTTTTGCAGTAAATGCCGCAGGAAGTTTCGTAAGATTTGTACGGATCGCAGCACGCGTTGGACCACATGTCTCCGCGCATTTACAAAAAGGTGCTCCTAAAGGCATACCTTAAAACAATGCGCTACAAGGTTTAATACAGGTGTCACAACACAAAGAAATAACTCACCATTAGGTTATCCATTTCAACCAACTTTCTCACTAGTTGAGAAAGTTAGTCCACCAGAGTCCCACAAATGAAAATATTTGAAGATATTCTTAAAGATGCTGCAACAGTTGCACCTGTTATTGAATCCGTAGGGAAAGGGTGGTACACAGTCCCACAAATATGATGATTATCATGTATGAAAATGACAATGTTTGGCTGCTTGCAAAATGTAGTTCTTAGTCCTTAAAAAACTGTAAAGAAAGGGAACACTCATTGTCATGTACATCATAATAAGGTGGTATCAGGAAGAGCACTGAAATGGCTGAATATTGATGAAAAATGTCCCTCGAGTATGAATATCACTGTAAAACACTTATTTTTATGTACATCCTACTGAGAAGGTATCAGAACTTAGAAACTGAAATGTCAATATCAAAGTAAAATGCAGAAAGTAGTATACAGGATGTTCCTGTACATCACTGATGTAGTTAATTGTTGGTCACAAAAATGTATTTTCTTCCATCTCACACAACTACAGATGATCAGGGGTAACCAATGATTGTTATACTAAAATTCTTCTTACGTCGATGAAAGTAAGACATCTAGGTAATACGATACACCAAAAAGCAGTTACTCAAGCAACTGGATTTGGTTTTGGATGGATTCCAAAATCATCCAAAATCATATCCAGTTGCTTGAGTAACTGCTTTTTGGCGTAAAATTCTTCTTACTTATGTCATTAAGAACTGTTTTTAGTTAGTATTATCATTATCATTTAATGCCAATAATATACCTAATCATCAATAAGCATGTAACATATCTTCATTCATGGTGAAAGGTGTAATTGGTTCATTGCTTTTTATATTCGACTTGTAGTAGTTGTATTTTGTTACAAATTTACTAACTACTCTAATCATATCTTAATTATTCAATCAATTATTACAATTATAGTGATGTAGATCTAGATTCTTTAGGTCACTTTAAGTCAAAGTATATTTCATTGTCATTTAGGATGATGAAAACTAACATATTTAGTGATTAACATACAGAATAGATAATCATTGATATTTACTGACGTGATGAGAGGATGTATCTCTTAACATTTGATATTATAACTTTTATTATAGCATTTAGCTTTATTGTACACCAGGAACAAGTGTTACATTTTACCCCCAAAATACCCCCTCTTTTCAGACATAACCAGCAGCAGTGATGTTCTGATGAGTAGCCCCAAATTTCAACCATTCTTACAGAATCCTAAGTAATGTACCAATTTATAAAATCTTCATTTTGCTGCTAGTAAATTTTGAAAATTTTTGCCACAACATTAATGGTAATAGTTGGATCCTCTTTTAATGTTTTGAGGAGAACATGGGGGATTATTATCATATATGTAGTTACAAGATGACAAAAAAGGAAAAAAGTTGAACTTTCTTTTCTTTGTGATTTCTAGATCTGTAATTGCAATGAAAGTTGGAAAGAATTGGAAAATTTCATATACATGAATGTTCACTGTTAGAGAATAACACTTGTTTCTGTATTATTGCTTTGAAGCTTCATACTTCAAATGTACAATTTTAGGGTGAAAAAACTTGGTTTACTAAAAGTTTTACATAAGTACAAAACATCTACGTTTTCTTGCCCCAAAGTTGTACACAGGAGCTCAACTTTCTGCAGATTTAGTACTATTCACAGCTACATTTGTTGTTGAAAAGATGGGCTGAATAAAATTTCAAGGGAACTACAAGTCTGTGACTCCAGCGTTGTTACTAAAGGATGATTTTGGTGCAGGTTTAATTACAACTAACTTAAAGATTGAAGAAAACCCACAAAGACAGACACATCAAATCTTTTAGCTGTATTTCCCACATACAGATCATCATTGACATATGTACTAACATATTAGCTATCTGCCCTGAGATTTGTTGGTTATTTTCATAGTTAAAATCTAAAGGTTCCAATAGAGAATCGGTAGCTATTTCATTGTGACACAGGTTAAAAATCTGACAGCACATCGAGTTGGTGTCGGCCTCACGTACAAATGTAAGGCCGAGTTGAGCCTTCCACGTGTCCAACATCTTTTTTGCCCTGCGGTGGCATAGTTACTTCCGCATTTGTTGCGTTTCGCTGCAGTGTGATGCACTGCCCGAGAAATACCCCCAAATAGTAACATCCGTGTCCATAATATCGCCACCTTGAGAAACAGTGTGCTTTAAGATATCTTTACTGCAACATACTTTTGATGTGTACTCCTTCACACCTCAAATGTACATACCTAGGGTATGTTGCAGTAAAAATATCTTTAAGCACACTTTTTCTCAAGGTGGCGATATTATGGACCCTGGTGATATTATGGACACAGATGTTACATATACATGAGTTCTATATAAATGGTGAATGTATGTGCAAAACAACAATTGTTGGGCTCCGCAGGACAAGGGTTAAAAGGGGGCCCGCAAGCTCTTTTCCGTAGAGCGTTTTAATTCTACGTAATGCGTTGTAGTCACTTGGAATTTATCGTAAAGCGTAATCAAGAGGTTTCCGAATTCAACGTACAGCGTTGTCGTGACCCCCCCATGCAGGCCCTCTTAAAAATCTGACAGCAAATCGTGTTTGTGTCGGCCTCACGTGAGGCCGAGCTGAGTTTTCCACGTGTCCAGCTGCTGCAGAGTGATGTTGTTCCCCCCACAGACCACCACCACCACCGACGCGATGCCCCCTGGCAGTCGGCCCTGGTCCTGCAGTCTGGAGATCACCCGGCTGTACACGGCTGCCAGGGCTGCACCACACGCCGGCTCCACTAGGAGGCGCTCATCGTCTAGGGACAAATGGTTCAACATAAAAGTTCAACCCAAAGAATCACGGAAATTTTGAGAGAGAGAGAGAATGGTTTATTCGCAACATTTAAAAATATACTTAGATAGTTCACAGCTGTCACACATAGGCAGCATAGTTAACATAACATAGAAGCAATCATTCATACATTACAAACAATAAAACCATCTTAAATATGAGCTAAAAACTGTAAAAGTTATCTATTTATTAAACTCTTATTAAAAACTAGAGGTCGGAGATCTCATGTCTTCGTCAGAGGTACATCGTTCTAGAGAAATTAACATGCGTATTCTTCACTCTTTTTAATAATCAATTTGGTCTAAAGAACAAAAGAATCTCTGTACTATTTTTATGGTACAGAACACCCTGAACGCCGCAGATTATACAGATGCGTCGTCACCCGTGTTAGCCCCCCCCCCTACGTTATTTGAGTTTGGACTGTTACTGGAAAAAAAACGTTCAAGAAATTCTTACTGTGTTGAAAGTGTCACGACAGCGTCGCAAAATATAATAAGAGAAGATGTTATAAAGGAAAGAATCAGAACAGGGTGACTACTGCTGTTTTGTTAATTTGCCTTTATGACAAATAGAAGACTTGTTTCTTGTGTTCTTTGTGTCCTAACATTTGTACTTCTACAGTTAGTATATTCCAAATCTAGGCATCTCGTTTTTCGGCCCTTCGTGTTTTTATTGCGCGCTTGCCTTAAATTTAAGGTAATTAGATTTAAGGTCTCCAGTGGACGTCATCCATTATAAGCAATTACTTGGTGTGGCCGTAGAAAATAACCTGACATATGTCCAACCTATCCTCCCCCTGCTGAAGTTATAGTACAATCCCTCAATGTAACGTCATTTGATCCCATCCCATTATGGGGTTCCCCCGCTATATCCAGCTGTCGGCTGTCTCCAAGCAGATGTAGGTGGTTTCTAAACACAAAAGGTCCTATTACGGGGACATAACGACCTCCACGACTCTCATCTTTGAACTCAATCTTGGAGACCACGACAGTAATAAGCCTATCAAATTTCATTAACTTCCATCCACACATACAAAAGTTATCCTGCTCACAAGAAAAATTAACAAAATGCCCCCTGTAGTCACAACGAAACCCCCCACGAAGCTCAGTAACAAACTTAACCTTGGTCCCGACAATAGTAAGCACCACACCAAGAATTATAATCAACATTTTACAAATACTTGAGTTATCTTGCTAACAAGCCACAAACACAAAAGGTGCACTAACGTGGCGCACGGACCCCCCACGAAGCCAAAACTTGTACTTGACTTCGGCCTTAACAGCGGTAATATGCCTGCCAAAAATCATGGACGTCGAATCATGCCTTCTAGAGTTATATCGCAAAATCCGCAGTTCCCCACACTCCGGCGAGACAATTTCATAGTCCTTCTGACGAAGACAATTATTTTATTTAAATTTTGTACATCATAATGCATTTTACCAACTCTGAACTTTCATGCTAATAAAAGTTCAAGTTGAACATAATTATTCAACCTAAAGAAAATAAATGGTGTACTTAAATCAGATATTCGAAAAAATGACACAAAAAGCGTTCAGCAAAGGCCCCATAGCTCCCATACTGACCTAGGAATTTTGCACAAGCTTCTACAGCCTCCTCATCAGTCACCACAACAGAGTGTATGGGGTGCTGCTTGCTGAGGTTAAAAGCCTCCTGTGCAACAGTTTTGGCTCCCAGGCACTTCGCAACACTAGCAAATTAAAGAAATGTGACAGTGTAGCAAATTGGAGAAATGTGACACTGTAGCAAATTGGAGAAATGTGACAGTGTAGCAAATTGGAGAAATGTGACACTGTAGCAAATTGGAGAAATGTGACACTGTAGCAAATTGGAGAAATGTGATACTGTAGCAAATTGGAGAAATGTGACACTGTAGCAAATTGGAGAAATGTGACAGTGTAGCAAATTGGAGAAATGTGACACTGTAGCAAATTGGAGAAATGTGACACTGTAGCAAATTGGAGAAATGTGACACTGTAGCAAATTGGAGAAATGTGACACTGTAGCAAATTGGAGAAATGTGACACTGTAGCAGACAGTAATCTACAGGGAGATCTTCAAGTAGCAAAATCGTAACCAATACACCAGGCTTTTTACTTAGGCCTTGGAAAAAATCTTAAGTTTCCTGTTTCCCGACTGACCCTAGAAAAAACTGCTGACCTTTTAACCTTTTTTTTGGGTGGACCTCTGCAAGGGACATAAACTTTTCAAGTTGATCGACCTTTTCTAGCTCCATGATCTGACACCTGAGTGATGAAACATTTGGTTTTCCAACATTGAAGTTCTCATGCAAGGTTTACTTTGTTAAACTATATTTTTGTATAAATTGGATCACTAAAGATCGCCAAAGTCTAAAAGAGAAAAAAAAGATAATCCCTTACCTACCAACCCTGATTTTTTTTCAGTACTGAAACAGGAAACACAACATTTTTCCCTAGGCCTACGGCCACACCAATTTAATTTATGGTTAACGGATTCGCCCGGTTCATTTTTTTCTGATTTGCAAATAAAAATAAATTCAGAATCAACTGCAAAATGCTCATATTTTGCCCTGAACAGATCTTTTCTTCCTAGTTGTTACAGTTATTCCATCTTTCAATGCAGTGGTATCATTAAAAGTACAAAATTCATTGTTTAAATTTTGAACCAGTCTGGTATGTTGACTTCATGGCTCCTATCCTACCATTTTGGGCCATAATAGGATGCCTAGGCCTGTTCTTTTTTTTTTTTTCGCCCGCCCGCTCCATTATTTTTCTAGAAAAATCCGTTAACCAAGAAATTAAATTGGTGTGGCCTAAGCATGAAAACAGCCGGTCTACTGACCTCGTGATGTCAGGAATGGTCACCAGTTTCCCAGCAGTCACTGCTGCGTTGAAGCTGTCCGCACCTTGGGTTTCCATGGCGACCACCGGGACGTCCGTCCAGCCGACCTTGCGGAGTCCCGCCACGACCCCGCACAGCAGCCCCCCTCCCCCCACAGACAGTATGATAGCTCCAGGCTTGTCCTGTAGAGTTCCAGCCAACTCCTGCACCAGGCTGGCATGGCCTTCCCTGCAACAACAACACACAGTCATGTCTGTGTACTCATACCCCCCACACACAGAGTAACCCCCC